AATTTTTATTTTTAGTCCTGATATCATAAAATGAATTATAAAAATATTTTGTTTTCTAAATTGCTCTTACGTTATTTAAATTTACCCTGGAATTTATTTAATTAAATTTATTCAAGTAAAAAAAATAATTATAATTGCAAATGGGCTACAATTGATCAATAAACTATCCTAGTAGATTCAGAATATATTACAAAGCAAACGGAAGCAAGTCTCAGAAATATTCAACGTTCGAAAGTTAATAAAAGTTAAGAATTTGAGAAAAGTAAACAGTAACAATATAATTGCATACAAATCATAACTAAATTAAAGTAATAATGCGAAATCATAATCAGTGACTTCTCTTAAATGTAGTTAATTAAAAAATTAAATTATATTCTAATTAACTGCATTCAAACCGTTACATAACCCCTAAATTTCTGTCCTTTAGCTCGCCGAAGTATTTTTGAGTTTAAATCAAAATACTGAATCTGAAAAAAATAAAATATTAACTAAATAAAAACAGTTAAACACTTTTACATACAAAAAATTATTCGTCAGTGAAGTGACTTTGTGTGCGAATGACGCCATTATTTGTTGTTACATTTGTGTCTGCGTACTTGAAACTGGGTGAAAACAAATACAGCAGAGAACCAGTTAAAACAACCAACCACGCAGATTGCAGGAAGGAATACTTGTTAAAAGGTAGGTGGAAACAAGAATTCGAATTACAAGTATTAAAAATACAAATAAGGTTGTTATACGTTTTAGACTTGTCATATACTCGTAATATGATGAGTATATGAGTATAATATAAAAATAAACTAATATATTGGATGAAAATATTTCTGAAATATTTTGCTGATGAATATTAGTGTTTAATAAAAGTATAAAAAAGAGTTTGGATTCAATGGAGAGATGGTAATTTCAAAAATAATTCTTAAATATATTGCTCCAAAAGTTATTTGATATTCCTTTTCGCATTGATTTTTAATTTGATGCAGATTAATTTTTCAAACTTTGCCATTAATATCTTTTAACAAAAGCCTTATCTTACAACTTGTTTTTGTCATTTGATGTTTAATGAAAAATACATTAAGATTTTTTTAGAGCATGACAAAACCTCTAAAAAGATTTCTGAGTGTATTTTGTATGTCAACTTGATATTGTATTTGATGTGAAAGAAAAAAAAAAAGCTTTCAACTTCTTAGAAAGGTGGCAACACCTATCAAAATATTTCTGAGTATGTTTTGCTTGGCAACTTGTTGTGGTATTTGCTGTGAAAAAAAAAAATTATTTCAACTTTTTGAAAAGTTGGCAACTGCGTTATAAATATTTATAATA